ATTTTCTAAGGTCATAAGGATGGATGTAGTTTCAGATTATGATTTTCTAAGGTCATAAGGATGGATGTAGTTTCAGATTATGATTTTCTAAGGTCATAAGGATGTTTGTTTGTCTGTTATGAATTTCGCGCAAAGCTACACGAGAGCTATCTGCGCTAGCCGTCCCTGATTTAGCAATGTAAAACTAGAAGGAAGGCAGCTAGTCATCACCACCCACTGCCAACTCTTGGTTACTCTTTTCCCAACGAATAGTGGGATTGATTGTCAGATTATAACGCCCCCACGGCTGAAAGGGCGAGCATGTTTGGTGTGACGTGGTTTCGAACCCGCAGATTGTGAGTCGAACGCCCTAACCACCTGGCCAATACTCGAAGGAAAATCAATGAGCCTGAGAAAAATGGAAATTTTGAAGCGAGCTGAATATCAAAAGAGTATGTGACTCTAGTAAATATATGCACTAAAAAAAAAAAGATTAGGATGTTTTTTCAATGAAATAAAATTAAACTCGTAATTTAATCGATAAAAAACACTGAAATATCCCCTTCTTGCCACTGAACACTGATAACTATCCAATTACGAGTGGCTCAGTTTTAATGATTGCACAAGTCTTTATTTCTTATTTTAATCGCAATCTGAGGGTCGCGGGTTCGAATCCCCGTCACACCAAACATGCTCGCCCTTTCAGCCGTGGGGGCGTTATAACGTGACGGTCAATCCCACTATTCGTTGGTAAAAGAGTAGCCCAAGAGTTGGCGGTGGGTGATGATGACTAGCTGCCTTCCCTCTAGTCTTACACTGCTAAGTTAGGGACTGCTAGCGCAGATAACCCTCGTGTAGCTTTGCGCGAAATACAAAAACAAACAAACAATCTTATTTCAAAATTAAGCAAGACTTTCACCAATCACGTACAAAATAGATCGTAAATCGATTTAGGGACTGTCTCCAAATTTCAACTCAAGTTATTACAGTCGTGTGCAGTTCATACTAACAAACTACTTTCCATGTTGTCAATAAAATTTCTTGAATAGAAAAACCAATAAATAAATTGGCGAAAATATATTCTTATAAAACCTTAAACAAAAACAATAAAACATCTTACGAAAAATAGGTTTGGAACTTCTCTTTTATTTCATAAATATGCTAATGAAACTAAACTCCCATCTCGCTTCCTTTAACGTGTAAGGAGACTAATGCAGTTAGAATCGATATATTCAGCTACAGTAAAGCTAGCAGGACACAAAGTTTCCTATAGTACTGTATAGACTCTAGAGTGAATGATCCTTGATTAATAATAAGCTAAAGTAAATCGATCCAGAATCGATCTTAATTTATTTATTGACTTCTCTGTAACCAGTATCAATGTATATTAGAGAAATTCGTAAATGTCAGTATATGAAGGTATCGAAATCCGGATTCTAGCGTTATAAGTCGGCAGACATACCGCTGTGCCACTGGGGGGTTTGTTTGTTTGTTTGAAGTTAAGCACAAAGCTACACAATGGGCTATCTGTGCTCTGCCCACCACGGGTATCGAAACCCGGTTTCTAGTGTTGTAAGTCCGCAGACATACCGCTGTGCCACTGGGGGTCAGTATATGAAGCATAAATAAACATTTTATCCAGTT